GTTCCCCCACCTGTACAATGGGGACAGTGATCGCAACTACAGAGTGGGGGTGGACGCTACTTCAGGGCATCCCCGGCGCTGGGCAAGGCTGTTCCCACATGCTCCCTTCCTTTTAGGAATTCTGCCGGTTGTTTGCCCTCATCTGACAAAGACACAATAAGGCTGTCAAGTGCCACATGGTGGTGTTGCTTGAGCATCTCCTGGAGGTGTGTCTTCAGTTTGCAGCTAGGTCCAGACTCCTTAGGGGACAGGGACAAGCTCTCGGGTTTCTTTAGCATCTGCCTCAGCCTCAGCCTCAGACCTAAACCATCCTGTGAGCGATAGAGGGCAGGAAGGAGGCAGGAAGAAAGGAAGACCTGGGGAGGTGAAAGACCAAAGCTACCCTGAGCTGACAGACCCCTGGCTGTGGGGCAGGAGGCTTCCAAGGCTGCCAAGTCGACAATAAGAAAAGTAAGCCCAATTCCAACAGGTTGGTGTTGCTGGTGGCACAGGTGTGAGCGTGTGGGCTCCCACCACAAACGCGTGCAGCAGGTGTGCTTTTCATGCCCATTTTGCAGATGAGGGAAACCGAAGCTCAGACAAATCAGTGGTTTTCCTGATGATCACAGAGCTACAGGGTTCAAACCCAGACCTGTATGAGAGACCACCTCACACCAGTCAGAATGGCTCAAAATAACAAGTCAGGAAACGGCAGGTGTTGGCAAGGATGCGGAGGAAGGGGAGCCCACACTGCTGGGGGGAATGCAAGCTGGTACAACCACTCTGGAAGAGAGTATGGAGGTTCCTCAAACAGTTAAAAATAGAGCTACCATACGACCCAGCAATTGCACTACTGGGTATTTATCCAAAGATACAAACATAATGATTCGAAGGGGCACCTGCACCCCAATGTTTGTAGCAGCAATGTCCACAATAGCCAAACTATGGAAAGAGCCCAGATGTCCATCGACAGAGGAATGGATAAAGAAGATGTGGTATATATACACAATGGAATACTACTCAGCCATCAAAAAAATGAAATCTTGCCATTTGCAATGACGTGGATGGAACTAGAGGGTATTACGCTAAGCGAAATAAGTCAGAGAAAGACAAATACCGTATGATTTCACTCATGTGGAATTTCAGAAACAAAACAGATGAACATAGGGGAAGGAAAGGAAAAATAAAATAAGACAAAAACAGAGAGGGAGGCAAACCGTGAGACTCTTAACTCTAGGAAACAGATTTGCTGGAGAGGAAGTGGCTGGGCGGTTGGGGTAACTGGGTGATGGGCAGTAAGGAGGGCACGTGATGGAGTGAGCACTGGGCGTTACACGCAACTGTTGAATCACTGCCCTCTACCTCTGAAACTAACAATACAGTATATCTTAACTAAATTGAATTTAAATAAATTAAAAACAAAAACAAAACAAAACTCCAAACAAGCACAGACTTGTCTAGTTCCTAAGCCTGAGTTAGATCCCTGCTGAACTCAGCCTGTACTGTTTATGAGCCACGGGCTTAGCTCCATCCATCTGGGTACACTTCGAACGTCAGATGAAGCTCCGAAGTTCTTGCTCCAAAGGAGGAGGAGGCTTCAGCTGGGGAAAGTTGCGAGGGGAGGGAACAGTGTGTGGAAGGGCCAGGAGGAGTAAGGGGTCTGAGCACACTTCAGAAATCAAGGCCACTGATTCTAGATTTATACTTGGGATCCACTACTTGGGCTTCGGGACAGAGGAATGGAATCCTTAGGCTCATGACCCTTCTCAGCCTATGGCCTTGGGCAGACCTTTCATTCTCCGGGCTTCAGGGGCCTCACCCTCAGTGTGGACAGTGAATGGGACCTTCCCCCCTGGCCTCACGTGACCAGAGGAGGGTGCCGATGCTGGGTAAGAGGTGCCACATGGATCCGATACAAAGGGACGGCTCCCAGTGAGTGAAGGCCCACCCGGACAGGAGCGGCCACCATACAGGGCCGCTGTGCATACGGATTGGTCAGTCCCGACACAGAAGCCCTTAGAGGGAGGCCTGGGGAACCACCAGCAAGCGGCGGCCTCATCTTCAACAACGTCATCCCCAGGGTCACAGGTGGGAACAAAACCCAGGTGGAGGGGAACGGGCAGTGCAGGGGGAGGGCACGTGTTAGTAGAGACCTGGGCGAAGTGAGGGCAGAGCCAGGCTGGCGTCTCTGGCAGGAGACACAGCCCGCACAAAGGCCCCGGAGTGGGACAAGGCGGCTGAACCGGGAATGAGCAAGGGAAGGGGTGAGTCTAGGAAGTGGAGGGGCTGGGGGTAGGGTGGGCCAGCCAGCTCCATCTGACCTTTAACCCTTTGTCCTCCCCGGGCTGGGACACCAGGGGTTGGGGGTGGGAGGGTGATCTATTTATCTCTCTGATAAAAGTTAGATCTTCCTCAGAACTCCGGGAAACATCTTTTCTCAGGACCCTCTTTGGGCATCACCTTGCGTGACATGAAATATTTTCCCAAACATTTAATCCTTTAATCTGGGCCCCTCGGTGAAATCAGTTCTTTATCACCCACGACCATCTGTTGTTTGGGCTTCACCGTAAATAACTCGGGAGATTTGACTTCTAAGGCGCTTATCTTTTTTGTTCTCTCCAAATTCTGGGAGACGAACGTTTGAATTTTCCTGGGAGAGGAGAGCACGGGCACATCTAAAATTAATCTCTCTGCACCGCCCCCCACCCCATGGGCCTCCTGATGTCCCTGGACCGGGAAGCCAGACTGGGAGGCGCGGGGAGGGGGGCTGGGGTGGGGAACAGTGTTTCACTTCTGATCTGCAGGCTCCAGTGAGGTCTGTAAATGAGGCCTCGCGTACAAACAGGCTAGCCGGAAAATCCCACCGGGCCTCCTGACCACATGCACAGCGGCCTCGTCACCTTCCCGAGGAGGCCGGGACAGCTGTCACATTCGATTAGGATGAAAATGGTCGGGCCCCAACATGAGTCCAATTTTGTTAATTCTGAAGAAAATGAACTAAGAGCTAATGGTGTGGGATTATGTCCCCTGCTTGCAGCTTGAAAATTATTCATGATGATACCGGAATTACAAGGACTGGGCTGAGCAGGGGGTGGTGAAAAGGCTGAACCAGTCTGAAAATCCAGGCTCTGGTCTCCCCTTTGTTTTGGGGGAGAACCACCAATATCCTGAAGCCTTCGTTTCCTTAGAAACCAATTCTTGGCTTTGTGTTCGTTTTTACATTTCACAAATTAAATGACCGACAGACATATCTATGGGGGAAAAGATGAATTCTCTGGGAGAAGCTGGGATGGGGCCATGAGCCCCATCCTCCCCAGGCTGCCCCTGCCCCACTGGGTCACTGCTTTCTTCCCTCTCTTGCCTTCCCTCTAAGCCCACTGGGCTCGCTGGGAGGTAGTTGGAAAACCCGCTGGTCCTTGTGCTTGCACAAATTCCAAGGTGCACCTGGTCTGGTACTCGTCCTCGGTGACCCGACGCCCCCTGCAGGGCACTGGGAGCAGCGCATGGACTTGGCAGCCATGGTAACAGCTGTAGGGTACCGGGGCTCGGGGAGGACGTGGACACATCTTTGGCCTTCCCTCTCTTTACTCCCTTGAGGTCAGAGGGCATATGCCATTTTGTTCCTTGCTCTTTTTTTGTTTTAACTAACGCAAGTGTTTTTCCTGTCATCAAAAATTCTTCAGAAGTACTTCTCTTGTTTTTAAAATTTTTGATTGCCTTCTTTAAATTGAAAAAAGAGTGTGTGCGTGGCAAAAATCATACTGAAGCAGGGCAAACGAGTAGGCAATGAAGAGAAATCCTCCTTGGCTTCAGAACTGAATGCTCCTCTCTTAAGGCAATCTGTGATAACGGTGTCTTGTGTATTCTTGTGATATCCTTCCAAAAATGTTCTAGGCGAACCCTATACGTATTACATGAGTGTGCATATGCTTACTTTAAAACATTGTTAAGTGTGTAGCATACAAACTGTTCTGCACCTTAATATTCCTCACCCACCACTGTATCTTGGTAATCTTTCAGAAGCTAAGGGCACAGGATTCCAGTCTGTAGATGAGCATCACTTACTTGTACAGGAGGGCAGGAATTTGAAATACGGAATTTGCAGGGGAGTGGGGTAGAGGGTAGGTAGGGATTTAGATGACAGGAGCACTTTAGGCACAGGCCAGGAGGCGGGGCAAGCCAGGGTGTTTTTCTCCCAACGAACCTCTTGTGTGTGTGTGTGTGTGTGTGTGTGTGTGTGTGTGTGTGTGTAGGGATGTGTAAGACCTGCCCTCCACACAGCCCACTTTCAAAATCCAGAAGCAGAACGATGTCCCCAGCATGGACAGGGTCTGGTGTCAGAGGGACCCAGTGTGAGTTGCCTGGTGTGACAGAGGTCCCCGACCTCACCTCTAAAATGCTTATTTTATTGGTCATGTGCCCATATTTCCTACTTGTTAAGTACTGTATCTGATTTTTAACTTTTTATTGAAAAAAATATCCAAAAGTGGGAAAAGCTCGTGTCCAGCTTCCCACAAAGTGAACACACGTGTAGCCAGCACCCAGATCAGGAAGCAGAACCCAGCCGGCCCCCAGAGACCCGAGGTGCCCCTCCTGGTCCCCACCCACTAGGTGACCACTCTGCTGACTTCTCACACCAGACATCACCTTTGCCTGTGTTTGAACTTAAAGTATAAATGGAATCACACTGTGTGTTCTCTTTTGAGCTGGCCTTTTTTTTCTTCCGCTCAGTATCCTGTGTGTGATTTTTATCCAAGTGGTGTGGTTTTATCCATTGTCTCTGTGATCTGGAAATGCCCCAAGCTCCGCGCAAACACAGGGATTGTAAGAGATACACGGAGAAACCTGCGTGCGTATGTGTCTAGGTGTGTGTGCGCGCACAGACCCGTGCACACGCATCCCCGAGCATGCACGTCTGTACCGGCAGGGGCGCGGGGCCGGCGGGCGGCGACAGGGGCGAGCGGCCCCCGCGCGGCCCTGGTGTCCCCGGTCCCCGCCGCTGACGCGCGCTCTCCCCGCAGGCCGAGGAGGCGGCGGGCCCCCGGCAGCCCCGCGCCGACCGCTGCCCGCCGCCGCCGCGCTCGCTGCCCCCCGGCGCCTGCCAGGCGGCGCGCTGCCAGGCCGACTCCGAGTGCCCGCGGCACCGGCGCTGCTGCTACAACGGCTGTGCCTACGCCTGCCTGGAGGCCGTGCCGCCCCCGCCAGGTAGGCGCCCGGGCCCCGGGGGGCGAGAGGGGGCGGGGGTGGGGGGGCCCCCGGAGAACGAGGTGGGGGCCCATGCGTGCCAGAGGGCCCCGCGGAGCAGCCACTGCGCTGAGCGCGCACAGCCCGGGAGGGGCCCATTCCGGGGAAGATGCCCCCTGCTGAGAAGAGGGGGACGATTTATCATTAAAAAAAAAAAAAAAAATCCAGGTCTCCAGCTTTTCTTAGAAATCCTGGACCGCATTCCCTGGGCCACCATCTGCTGGGACCCCAGGTGCCCCTAGATGGCAGCGGGTCCTCCAGTTTCCCCCGGACCCCACCAGGCCCACTTCCCTCGCGATCCTGGCCCCGGGAGTATTTGGGGTGGAGACCTGGGACCTCAGCTGTCCGGATGCGGTGTGCCCGGGAGAGGCAGCGGGGGTGCAGGCTCCTGGGTTCAAGTCCACTGGCCAGCTGGTGTCCACCCAGTCCCCCCCCTCCCCCCGTGAAATCCCCCCAGCTGTAAAACAGGACTGAAATGAGACCATGCAGGTCCTGGAGGGCTCTGAACATTCGCTGTGTTGGCAGGGAGCAGATAATCAATAAGATGTCTGTTGAATCTTAATGGCAATTTATTTGGGAGAAACAGCCCTCAGGGACTCTCTTTGAAGGGAAAGAGTTTTAGATCCCTTCTGGAGAGGTTGTGGGGGGAGGGAGCCTGTGGGGGTACTGAGGAGAGGGTGGGCAATGTGTCCCCCAGGATGGAGAAAAGGTGCCCCTAAGTGGGTAGGATGGGGGCAGTAAAGTCTCCTCCCCTCTCGGTTCTGCTTGGGGCTGAGCCTTTAGGTGACAACAGCCTGCTTGGACCGCACCTCTCAGAGGGAGGCCTCTGGGGACCCTGGGCTAAATTGCTGGAGGCCGCTTGAGAAGGCAGGCCCAACCCCCCTCCCAAGGCCCAAGCAAGAATGACCGCACTTTGTTTTCTTTGGGGTAAGGTCACAGTGGTGACAAGGTAGTCAACACCCTCAATAATGCTCGTAATTACAGTCTACCTGCGTTTGAGCACTGTCTCTTGGCCAGGGACTAGGCAGGGCCAGGAAAGCTTCTATAGGGCCCTTTATAAAAAATGACAACATGGCACCCCCTCCTGGTGGAGCACATAAAGGTACTTCCCTCTGGGTGGATAAGTAAAAAAAGGTGCCCCTTCCTTTGGACTGTGACAGTGAGCAAGGATTCTAGCCTCACTTGCCACCTATGCCAGCAGATTTTGAGCAGTGCACAAACTATACAGCTGTTCATGACATTCCCAATAGCCTTTCCCTACCTCATCTCATTTAATGCTCACACAGCCCTATGGTGTGGAGACTGTTACCAGCCCTATTTTACAGCTAAAGACACAGAAGCTCAGAGAAGCAGAGCTGCTTGACCAAGATCACACAATAGGCAAAGCTGGTATTTCAATGCCGTCTTCTGACTGTGGAGAAGTGTCCAGTGCTTTAGGCCCTGACTGCAGGGACGTGGGGTTCTACTCTTGCATCTGGGCCCATAAATGGGCATCCCTCACTGCCCGGAACATCCTTCCCCCAGACACGCACACAGCGCACTTCCTCACCGGCTTCAGATCTTTGCCCAGAGGTGGTCACTTTTTCAGGGAAGATTTCCCTCTCTAAATGGCAAACTCTCCTGTAGTTGTTCCTTACCCTCCTTTCCCTGCTTAATTTCTCTTTATAGTACAATCTAGAACATTGTGTTTTATTTGTTCATTGACTGTTCTCCCCACTTGCAGGTCAGCCCCCGTAAGGCAGAGTTTGGTCCGTTTCAGCCACTGCTGGATGCCCACCATCTGAACTAGTCTCTGGGCACCTGAAAAGTACTCAATGAATATTGAATGAATCAATGAATCAGTGAACGCCTAGCTATTGCTAACCAGGCAGAGCAGACCAGCTCTTCGTTAGTCATAGTAACAATTATAATAATAACAGGGTTTCTCAACCTTGGCACCCTGGACATTTGGGGTTGGATAATTCTTGTTTGAGGTGGGATGGAGGCTGACCTGGGCACTGTGGGGGTATGGAGTAGCATTCCTGGACCTCTCCCCATGAGATGCCAGTAGTCCCCCCACGCCACACTGTCACAACCAAAAGTACCTCTAGACTTTGCTGTATGTTCCGTGAGGACAAAATCACCCCAAACTGAGAACCGCTGATCTAATGTGAGCAGATGACCTGAAATGCACCAGGCCCTGCTGTAAGCAGCTCACACACTTCATTGCAATTTTCAGGTAGGTTCCCTCCAAAGCAGACCTTGAGATAAGGACTTGGGTGCAGGGAGTTCATTTAACAGGTGATCCCAGGGAGTTCTACTGAGGCACAGAGAGGGGAGACCCTGAGCCTCCAGGCCTTTAGGCATCTGCAAGTTAAGGAGAGACCTTGACCAAGTTTCACTTTCTAAAAATGCAGTAAACTGTGTATGTACATCTCCCGTTACCCAGGAGCCTTTGACCAAGGCAAAGAGTACAAACAGGAAATAGTAATAGTTTCCTATTTGGGCGCCTGGGTGGCTCAGTTGGTTAAGCGACTGCCTTCGGCTCGGGTCATGATCCTGGAGTCCCAGGATCGAGTCCTGCATCGGGCTCCCTGCTCAGCAGGGAGTCTGCTTCTCCCTCTGACCTTCCTCCCTCTCATGCTCTCTCTACCATTCTCTCTCTCTCTCAATAAATAAATAAAAATCTTTAAAAAAAATAGTTTCCTATTTGGTAAAAATTCACATTGAAAGCATTTTCTATCACGGGGTCCGAGGTGGTAGGAAGGAGAAGGGAAGAAGCAGAAGACTGGAAATCAGCCTGCAGAAACTCCTCACGTCATCCCTCCAGTTGGAAGTTGCAAACTGCTCATTTGCTCCTCTGTTTCAGTTTGCACGCTGTGAGCAACTGTCTTACGATCATCTTGCGCTCTTTTATTTTTTTTAAAGGTTTTATTTATTTGACAGAGAGAGACACAGCGAGAGAGGGAACACAAGCAGGGGGAGTGAGAGAGGGAGAAGCAGGCTTCCCGCAGAGCAGGGAGCCCGATGTGGGGCTCGATCCCAGGACCCTGGGATCATGACCTGAGCCGAAGGCAGACGCTTAACGACTGAGCCAGCCGGGTGCCCCATGTCACTCTCTTTTAAAGAAAAGGCTATGGGTGCCTGGGTGGCTCATCAGTTAAGCGACTGCCTTCGGCTCAGGTCATGATCCTGGAGTCCCGGGATCGAGTCCCGCATCGGGCTCCCCGCTCAGCGAGGGGCCTGCTTCTCCCTCTAACCCTCCCCCCTCTCATGTACTCTCTCTCTCTTTCATTCTCACTCTCTCAAAATAAATAAATAAATCTTTAAAAAAAAAAAAAGAAAGAAAAGGCTAACCAGCATTTTTACCAAAATCCACCTATGTACCTTCAAAAGCACTAGACAGCACCCCAACCTCTTTATTTTTGTCATATTTTGGAGTCCAACAAAAGCAGAGATCATAAATAAATGTGATCCCAGACCAGTTTTATTTGATCTACATAATGCATAAAACAATTTTTAAGAGGGGGGGCGGGGCAGAGGGAGAGGGAAAGAAAGAATCCCAAGCAAGTTCCATACTCAGCGTGGAGCCTGACGTGGGGCTCGATACCACCACCCTGAGATCACGACCTGAGCCAAAATCAAGAGTCGGACACTTAACTGACTGAGCCACCCAGGCACCCCTGTAGGGCATAAAATTTTTAAAAATTGCCAACACTTAAAAACCAGGAGTTTGTATTTTAAAAAATATCTACAAAGTTTAAAAAAAAAAAATACAAGCTCTAGGAACATGGGGACTGGCTGGCCAGAGCTGACCAGCAGCTGACCCACTGAGGCAGGGACTGTCTCCAGTTTGCCATGGTCCTACGGGACCTGCTTTTCTTATGTATGTTACCTACCTGCTCCCTGGAAACATTTGGGCTCCCCACCCCTGCTTTGGGATTTTGAACACCTTACAGTCTACCATGTGGGTTGCTCTTCTTGTTAAAAATATATTGGCCACAGAGCAGGCTATGTTGCTATGACACAAAGACCCACGAAGCCAGGAGTCCAAGCTATCAGGCATTTACTCCGCTCTTGGTTAATAGGCCAGCGTAGACGGGCGGTTCACGGCAGGTATGTGGCTCCACTCCAGTCATCCAGGTACCCAGGTTCCTTCCATCTTGTTGCTCTGCATGATCAAAGTGGCTCCCCAGCTGCAGGAAGAGGGAAAGCCAGAGGGAGGAGAGCAAACAGGCATCCATGCACGGGCAAGACAGGAAGTTGTGTCATCACGTTGGCTCACATCCCATTGGCTAGAATTCAGTCATGTGGCCGTACCTAGCTGCAAGGAAAGCTGGGAAATGTAGTCTCCAGCTTGGCCACCCAGTGCCTAGAGGAAACTCAAAGTTCTGTTACTGAAAGGCAGGGCGAATATATGGCAGGCAGCCTCTGTGTTCTTCATGAAGAAGAATTACCCCACTCCCAGAGGCTGGGGCATTTCTCGGCTGCTTGACCGGGTCGAGGGGAGGGCTCAATTTAACCATGTATTATTTTGTTAGTTTTAGATTGGCTAGTGCAGCCGAAACCTCGATGGCTTGGTGGCAATGGCTGGCTTCTGGATGGCCCTGAGGAGGTGTTGCAAGGTACCTACAGGGTGAAGCCCAACCTGACGTCTGAGCCAGGGTCCCTCCTTCTCAGGCTGCCTCTGCTCCAGCAGGCTGTCTGCTCTCAAATACCTCAATATGTAGAAAGGTGGAGGCTGGGGCTTGGCCCAGCTCTCACAATCCCCAGAACAGTGTAGGGCTTGACGTTCCCTGCAAATGGGGCCTCCTCCTCCCCCCACCACGCCGGGATGGAGACTTGAGAGGGAGGGGATTGGGGTTGGTTTTCAAATCCCTAAAATCATAATAAGGGGTTCACTGCTCCCTGAGGATGAGGTCGTCTGTGGGTGGGTGGAGAGCAGGCAGGCAGCCCTGGGGTCTAGAGAGCTGGAGGGTACGAGTGTGTGCACTTGTGTATGTGTGGCTCTCCCTGTGACTCTGCACACATCCGTGGGCACGACCACCTCTGGGAGGGCACCTGTGGGGCTGTTCTTGTGCTGTGTAAATGTTTGTGCATCTGCGTGCGTGCAAACGTGTGTGATTGTGGGTGTGAGTGTGTGTGTGTTAAGAGCCATGGTGGTGAAAATGTGTGTGTCAGGATTTGTGCATGAGCGTGTGTACACCTGTGGCTATAGATGTGAGTGCATATATGTGTGTCAGGATTCGTGTGTACAGGCACAGGATTGGGGTGTGTGCGCAAGTGTGTATCTGAGTGTGTGCGTGCACACACATGACCGTAAGTGTGAGCATGTGTGTAGGTGAACGTGTAGGTAGGTCACTGCACACGAGGGTGTTTGGGATTGTTTGACCTGGGACTGCCCTGTGTGTTGGTGTGTGTGTGTGTGCATATGTGCGTGTGCATGAACACGCCGCTGTAAGTGAGACCCGAGGCACAGCCTGGAAGGTGGGGTGCAGATGGGAGGCAGACCCTCTGGTTCACGTGTCTGTCCCACAGCCGAGGCCTGCAGCACCACAGAGGATGGGGCGGAACCCCTCCTCTGCCCCTCGGGCTACGAGTGTCACATCCTGAGCCCTGGGGATGTAGCCGAGGGCATCCCAAACCGCGGGCAGTGTGTCAAGCAGCGCCGGCAGGCAGGTGAGTGGCCATGCTCCTGGCCCCTGCCCCCCTCTCCCTAGAACACCCCACTCAGGACGCCTATCCCAGAGACAACCACCAGCACCCCCAAACCTGGCCAAGAGTTCCTCCTGTCCTCCTACTTCCGTGCTTCTCCCTTTGAGTCTTCCATCTTTCCCCTCGTCGCCTGCATGAGCCACAGGTCTTCGAGCCCTGCCACCTCCTAGCTGGGATCGGTTGCTTCAAATCTCTGAGCCTCAGTATTCTCATCTGTGAAATGGGGCCACTGTGTGCTGTTATGGGAATTCATTTAAAGCATATGTGTAAAGCCCTCAGAGCAGTGCTCGCTTCGGCAGCACATATACTAAAGCCCTCAGAGCAGAGCCAAGCAATAATAGGTGCTCGGTAAACATCAGATATATTATATCCATCTATATATCTATTTTTTTATTTTTATTTTTTTTGAAGATTTTATTTATTTATTTGAGAGAGAGAGAATGAGAGATAGAGAGCACGAGAGGCAGGAGGGTCAGAGGGAGAAGCAGACTCCCCGCCGAGCAGGGAGCCCGACGTGGGACTCGATCCCGGGACTCCAGGATCATGACCTGAGCCGAAGGCAGTCGCTCAACCAACTGAGCCACCCAGGCGCCCTATATCTATTTTTTAAATTGTCTGAGAACTCTTGACTTCCCAGGGTCTCTGCCAGGAACATTTAGTGTGACTTAATTCATGTTTGTCCCTGGAGGTGAATAGTATACAGCAAATCGATCAGGGAAGGGCGTGAATGGAATTGCTTTAGTTTGCGTGATTTTTCCCAAGCAGAGCCAAGACCACAGAGCACGGACTGTTGGGGATACCTAACTACAGCCCCCCGAGCCTCAGGCAAGGCATAAGGTCCACAGGACTCGGAAGAAATGCATGGCAAGCGAAGAATCTGGAATTTCAGGGAGATGTGAGTTGGCCTTGTCACAGCTGAGCTCAGGGGGCTCTGAGAGCCCAGACTCGGGGCCCAGTGCCCCCTTCTGCATCTCTCAGCCCTGAGAGCGGGGCTGGCACCTTCGGTCAACACTGAGGCCCAAAGAACACAACAGGGCACGTGATCTGCCAGAGCATTTCTTTTCCTGAATGGAGAATGTATTTCCCGGAAGTGTTTCAGGAAGAACACACTTAATGCCATGCAGTTATAGCACCGTCGTCACTGCAAAGAACACGATATGAGACATTACTACTATCTCAAGAAGCCTGGTTCCTGGAAGGCTGAGCTTTGAAAAAATTGCCCATAGTAGGCATCTTGGTAGTCTCTCCTACATTCCACCTGCTGTTTGGGGTTAAGAGCCTGTTCTCCAGCCAGGCAGCCTGGGCCCTGGTAGCCCCTTGGCCCCTCACTGCTGCATATGGCAAATAGCCTGACCTTTTTGGGTTTCATTTTCCTTACCTGTAAAATGGGCTCATAATAGTTAGGCTACTTCATGCCGTCATCCGTCTTAGGGAAGAGGAACTTGCCTATGGGGTGCACAGCTAACGAGGAGCAGCGGGGTGTTCTGAGCCTGTCCATGGGCTGCAGAGCCTGTGGGTGCGTGTGGGGGGGTGTGTTCTCCCCTCCCCCAGGAATGATCAGAGCCTTCCAGATGGAAATGTAAGCGAAATTCCCCCTAGCCTTGCTCCCAGGGGCTGTCAGGGAGCAACAATTGTTGGTAATTATATGGGAGTTTGGACATGTCTTAATCTCCAACAACTTCCCTTGGAACAGTAGCTTCCGGGAGGAACAGGGGCACTCATCCCAGGTTAAGCACAAAGAAGCCTCTTATTTACGTTTTATCTTTTTAAACTCCGTATTTGAAATAATTTCAGACTTCAGGGGCGCCTGGGTGGCTCAGTCGTTAAGCGGCTGCCTTTGGCTCAGATCATGATCCCAGGGTCCTGGGATCGAGTCCTGCGTCAGGCTCCCTGTTCCGCAGGGAGCCTGCTTCTCCCTCTGCCTCTGCCCCTCCCCCTGCTTGTGCGCTCTCTCTCTCTCTCTCTCTCTGTCTGTCAAATAAATAAATAAAATCTTTTTAAAAATTTTTAAAAACCAATAATTTCAGACTTCAGAAAAGAGGCAAGATTAGGACCTTGAACCCTCCACCCCGATGACCCATCAGTTATTAAAATATGGTCACATTCGCTTTACCATTCTCTCTCTTCCTCTCCCTAGTCCCCACTGTCTCTCCGTATAAATCTGCATACTTATTTTGGGGACTATTCGAGAATAAGTTGCAGATCTCATGCCCACCCCTTAGGACGCCAGTCTCCTCCCAGAGCCGGTGTTTGGAGGGTGCCAGTGAATGTTCGGGTTTTACAGTCCATCAGCTTGGAACCCAGCATTTGCGGGGTTCATGTCTTTCCCGAGAGGAAAATGAACGTTGGCACAGGCAGTAAATCTGCCTCTTTGGAGAGCAGGGTCCGGGGAGTCAGTGCATTTCTCTGAGTGGGTTTGAAGTCACTCAGAGGCGGAGCGTCCGTGTCCCCCAGGCTTGCCTCTGACAGAGTGCCATGGCTGATGCTGCATGCGAAGGACAGAGGATCGTGCAGCCTTGAGCAGGGAAATCTATTTTGTTAAAATGACCTGTGATCGTGTTTGGTAAACGTGGAGGCGTGAGGGGGGTGACCAGCTCCACCAAGACCTCTGGCTCCTTCCTGTGGCGCCAGCGTTGGTCCCCGAGGAGAAGGAAGGCACAGGAATGCTTCATCGTCGCCAGCCTGGAAAAAACCCAGCCATTTGCTTGAGAAAATAGTTGTGGCCCAAGTTGCTGATAAGTTATCAACCTGAGGGTGTGAATCAGCTCCGCTGGGATCTGTCACCTCGTACTATAAATGCCAGTGCTGGCCCCAAACACCCTGATGCTTTTTAGGATGACCACAACACAAAAGGAAACAAAATGTTTAGCCATTGCACAAATGTGATCTTTACAATTGAGACATAACTGATCTATAACCTTCTATGAGTTTCCGGTGCAGAAGCGTGCTCTGTTGACAAGGCTGACGTGCTGTGGTGAAGGAGTGAGCTCACCCCTGGCAGTGTTGCTCAGAGAAACTTCTGCGTGACCTGGCCAGACTTCTCAGGCACAAATGGTTCGCCGCCATGATAGGCTGGGGGCCGGGGGGAGGGGGGTGGTGTGGGGTCGATGACAACCAACAGTGCGAATCCTTAGTAGTTCCAGATGTATCAAGGTCCCAAGAGTCGACCACTTTTCACGTACAAAAATGGCAGTTTCGTGTGGTTCCTCCTATTATTTGCATATCTATGGTTTAAATGAAATTATTTATTTTCATCCTCACAATAACTTTATGAGGTGCTAATTTTTAAAGATTTATTTGAGAGAGAGCACGAGCAGGGGGAGGGGCAGAGGGAGAGGGAGACAGAGAGAATCTCAAGCAGACTCCCTGCTGAGCACGGAGCCGACAACAACGTGGGGCTCGATCCCAGGACCCTGAGATCATGACCTGAGCCAAAACCAAGAGTCAGGCGCTTAACCAGCTGAACCACCCAGGCACCCGACGAGGTGCTAATTTTATGCCCATTTCCAGGTGGGCAAACTGAGTCCCAGAGAGGATTAGTGAAGCAGCGCAAGGAGATAGCTACTGGTTACTTGGTCACACGCAGTAAGGACATTCAAGACTCCTATATGAGCAGACTCAGAAAAGTACCATGTGTTCCCCATGTGAATTTCATAGCTTGAAATCACACTCGCTGAATAATACGTCCAAATTCTGCTTCCGGTTCATCTGTTAAGACGGTGGTTCCTAAACTTTTTGGCCTCAGGACCCCCTTACACTCCAAAAACATTGAGGACCCCAGAGAGCTCTCCTTTGTGTGGCTCTGGTTAATGACCATATTAGAAACTAAAGCCAAGGCATTAAAAATATTTCTGTGTTAATTCATTTAAGAATGACGATGATAAACTCATTATGCACTAAACAGAAAGAACGTTCCTTTTACAAGTAACCATACTTTCCAACACACACACAAAAATGGAAGACTGGCACTGGTTTACATTTTCACAGTTCTAATATGCACATGAAGAGAAGAGAGTTCGATTCTCACGCCTGCTTCTGCATCCCATCAGCCGTGACATCACACGTCACACAGCCTCTGGAAACTCCATGCGCACTTGGGAGGGAATGAGAATGAAAACATAAATAATTCCTTGGTGTTATTATGAAATGGTTTTGGCTGTATGAACTCACTGAAGGAGTTTAATCTTCTCATGTGTTTTCCAGATGGGCGGTTCCTCCAACACAAATTTTACAAAGAATACCCAGGTAAGAGAAGAAACCACTCTTCCTTTGCAGAGGGTGCTAAAAGGAACAGTAAGGATTTCTTCGGTGAAAAAGAAAAATAGAATCCCGTTGATTCTGTTTGAATCTGTTGATTCCTGTTGATGACTGTTTTGAGAGCTAGTCTGAAGCTGCTGTGAAGGGAAATGCCCATACGCTTCCTAGTTACCTTTATGCCATCAGATGGCCCTTTGGGGGTGAGGTGGTGGGATGCCAAGATGCTTCTGGTGTGAAAACCTCTCCTCCATCCTGAGCAGCCCTCTAGGTGGCATCTGACATGGGCAGGTGCCATTCTAGGCTGCAGCCTGGGACTGAGGCAGCAGCTTTGGGATGTCTCACGGGGGATAAAATGAGACCTAGGATTGGAAAATAAAGTAGAAGCCCTGTTGCCTGATGGTGAGCAGAGGAGGTGGGAGCCAAAGAGGGGCTCATGGAAGAAAAAATGGCTTTGTGTTAAATCTTAGAATTTGGGACTGGATATGCTTAAGTCCTTCCTACTTTCATTCAGGGGATTGAAAATATGGCTGACACTATTCTTCTATCCAGTCATTCATTGATCCATCCATCCAGTCTTCTAATCTTCCATCTATTCATCTTTCCATCCGTCCATTCATCCAATATTCCATTCTTCCATCCATCTTTCCATCCTTCCATCTATCCATCTATTCTTCTATCCATCCATCCATCCATCCATCTTTCCACCCATCCATCAATCCAGTCTTCCAATCTTCCATCTATCCATTCTTCCATCCATCCTTCAGTCATCCATCCATCCAGTATTCCATTCTTCCATCCATCTTTCCATCCATCCATCCATTCTTCTCTCCATCTATCCAATATTCTATTCTTCCTTCCATCTTTCCATCCTTCCATCCATCCCTCCATCCATCCATCCTTCTATCCATCCATCCATCCATCATATCTTTATTAAGAATTTACAGCATATAGTTATCAAGCATTACTCTTTATTTTGTGCTAGAAGTTGAGGCTACATTTGTGATCATGGCAGACCCAATCCCTGCCCTCCTACAGCTAATATCAAGCAGGAAATACGGACATGAATAGCCTCCAAGTAGTTATTTAGTAATAATAGGGATTAGGGTGATTGAGGTCACATACAGGACACTATGAAAAGGACACCTTAGACTTGGATGTCAGGGAAGGCTTCCTAAGGAGGGGACATTCAAGCTCAGCCTAGAGAACAAGAAATAGTTGGCAGAGGAATAGCCACCGTGAAAATCCTGAGGTTGGAAGCAGCTTGGCCATCACTGCTGCTGGTGTGTAGTGAGCAAGGTGGGGATGGCACACACACACACACACACTGCTGTGTGTAGTGAGCAAGGTGGGGATGGCGGTAGATTGGGCCAGAAACGCCAGCAGGACCACACCGCACAGGAGAGGAGGTGTGGCCGTGGTGAGGAGAGAGGAGAGGCTGCAGGTTGGGATTGGGTGACCTCCTTTGGGGGAGAAGAGGGGACAGGGCCAGGGCACCTGGTATTTGGACGTCATTTGGCAGTGGCTGGTGAGCCAGGGGCAGTTGAGCAGCAGAAGACATGCCTGCCTTCACACAGCCCTGGTCTTTTTGCAGAGGGTGATTCCAAGAATGTGGCGGAGCCTGGGAAAGGGCCCCAGAGGCACTTTCAATAAGTCTGCGGGGCCGGTAAGTGGGAGGAGTGGTGGCCAATGGCAGGGGGAGGGTTTGCACAGCCAGGTGTCCTGGGAGCTTTAATCACCAACTTGACAGTGGGAGGGGCGACTGGGGCTTTACCTGGGGGTAGAATTTTAAAATTCTCTTACAATATCAAAGTAAGTAATATGAGAACTTGGTGTGTAGGCAGAAGTGGAAGTTTCTATACCATGTGGACCTAAATCCAAACGCTAGACTGGGTTGCAACTTTCCTTTCCATTCCTTGTCTTAATGCCTCGGTGAGGAGCAGATGCGTCCTCCGTTGTGCCCTGAAGTCCACCCCTCTGTCTCTCCCTCTGTCACACGATCCTCTCAAGTGCCAACTCGTGCTCCTAGGGGCTTACCTCCTTCCGGGAGGCTAAGTAAGTCAACAAGGAAATCAGCCTGCAGTAAGTGTTGTCAAGGAACCGGACAGGGGCATGAGGAAGAGTAGCCAGGTTGGGCAGGGGCCGTGCAGAGGTCACATCTGAGCCAAGATCTGCAAGGAGAAGCAGCTGCCTTGGGAAGACCCGGGGAGCAGGTGCCCGTGCAGAAGGAGCTGGAAGAGCAAAAGCCCCTGGGCCGGAGAGATCTTGGCTTCGAGGAGCCACAGGGAGGCCGCTGGGGTAGGAACAGAATGATGGTGGTGAGGCTGGCACCAGAGGGGGGTCCCAGGGAAGGCATGGGCCCTGCTCTCAGATGCTCTCCGGGGCCAGATGCGTGCCTGTGGATGCCAAGGACTGGGAGCATCTCTGCCAGGAAAACCCGATCCCTTCTTGGCCTTTTGGCTAAGATCAAGTGTAGGAAAACCCGAATGCCTCGCCCACCCCTGTGAAAGTCAAATGTCTGCACAGGGCAAACAAAGGCCCTTGAAAGCAGCTGATTTCCCTGTCCTTGAAAGGCAAACATCGGGTTTCAGATTCCAGAATATTCTGGTGCAAGTCCCTCTGGGGAAGTCTTGAGTCCTTGGGGATAGGTGCCAGTGTGTCTATTACTTGCTGATGACAGGACCGGTCCTCGGAGTGGGTCTGACCCACCGAGGACAGCAAGCTTCCCCGGGGAAGCACTGGGGGCCGGCGGGGGAGAGCGGGCCGTGAGCGGCAGCTTGTGGTGGTGTCTGGGAGCCGCCGGCCGGCCCGAACTGGGCTTAAATTCTTGACCCACCACATGTGACCTTAGGCAAATGACTTCAACTCTCCACGTCCCAGTTTCCTTATCTATAAAATGGGAATGATGGGGAGGGATGTGTTAGTAACCAAACAGGGGGATAGCCAGAGAGACTGAAAGTAAGTTAAGAATTCAGTGTTAGGGGAACTGGAATCTTACTGGCGTATGTGGGGGGTGACAAGGAAGAAGACGACATGGACTGTGACCTCGTTCTGCCCCAGCAGCGGCTCATGCTCCTTCCTTCTCTGCTTCTCTTCCAGCCAATTGTGAGAACATTCCTCCATTTTTCTGCTAAGTCTTGGAAACAGTTGGATAAAACATGATTTGACCCCCGGAGGTCATGCGCAGCTTGACAGAGCATGACCCCAAAACTACTTAGAGGCAAGACAGCTGGCTCTCAATGCCAGCATGATGCAACTGGCTGGGTGACTTTGTGGGAGCCCCTTGCCAACTCCGGGTCCCTGTCTTATTGTCCTGAAGCAAAGCACACCTAGCAGAGTCCCACTTGACCTGACGGCCCCACAGACCCCACCTTGGGAAGAGGTCACTGCCTTTGGGAGCTGCACGAAGCCCCTTTCTCAGAGAGAGTTCGACATCTTGTTTACTACACATTTCTTCCAGATTTGTCTCTGGGAGCCATGTACCTATCCCAGATGTTCTCAAAATAAATTGCTCCGTACAAAATGGAAATGAACTTAGCTACTCAGGTGGGATTCATAGCTTTAACCCCCGCTGATCTTAAATTGCATGTGCTGAAGCCCTTGAGCCCTGGGCGGGTGTGTGTGTGTGGGGGGGTGTTGAGGATACTGGGATGAGGTGTCTGCTCAGCTCTGCTTCTGGAACCGTGGAATATTCGGCCACGTGTGCACTGCTCTGGGTCGGATCGCTCTGAGGCAGACCTGGGAGGAGGATTTGTTGAAAGTGATTTGTTAGAAAAGTTCCTAACTTTCCTGGGGGAAAGGTAGGGAAGTGGGGAGGAGGGGGGGGGAGGAGTAGGAGGTTAGCCAAGGTGAAACGTCAAGGTCCCACAGAGGGTGACTCTGGTGAGACCCCCCAGGGCGGGCTCCAGGGACAGTTGCTCAGAGGGGTCCACACTTAGCTTTAACGAAAATCTTAGCAATTGTCCACCAAGGGGCCCGCGTGTTCGTTTTGCAAATAGTGTAGGCGGCCCTGAGTCACACTTTGGAAGGGGCCCCCCTGGTGGGGGGCATGGGAGCCAAGTCTGTGTGGGGCTCCGGCGCCCTTCAGTGACAAGGTAAGGGCTGCCCCTCGGGGAGGGGCGGCCACTTCCAGGGGCAGCCCACCTCTGCCAGGGAGGTGAGCCCATGGGGCTGTGGGCAGAGCCCTGGAGCTTCGTTACACACATCTCAACAGTGGCTGTACAATGCAGGCTCGTGGAGAGAAATGGCTCCATTTACCGATAACTCATCCCTCTCAGAAGAGCCCAAGGTGATTGGTACTGATCAGTCCTTTGGAGGGCTCGACCTTCCAAATTCCAAAGTGGGCTTATGTGAAGACAACATCCATGTTCCCATATTTCAAAAAACAAGCAGCTCCCACTCCCCACCCCAGGCCCCTGCACCTCCCTGACCACGGACGCATCCTTTCTCCCATAAAATCCACACTCTCTTAGAAAACACTCCAAGCCCACTTTAAAGTGGAGACAGGCGACGGACGGGTCTCAGTGCATCCAGGTTGCTGAAGGACTACTTTGGTTTTTGTTTTGTTTTGTTTTGATTTTGTGTGTGGAACATGAAAGAAAGAGTCCAGCGATTCATATACAAGCTGTATAAAGTGTGACTTTGTTACATCATGCGGGGGCGTGGGGGTGGTGGAGGTTGTGACCTTCCCACTGAAGGAATAGAAAGACGACTTTCTCCAAGAATGTCAAGCCCGACAAGAGACAGATCTGGTTTCCATTTTGGAGAGTGAGGATCATGTCTGTCCATGTCAGGCATGAGCCACTTTGTGACATGATTACAGGGGTCGCAGCTTGGGTCACCCGTGAAATCCCCAGTAGCCCCCTGGCTCCTGGAGGGTTGGATCTCACTGGGCTGGAAGGGACCTGGGCCTGAGATTGGCTGAAGCCTCTGGGGGTGGGAGGTCCACTGAACAGCCAGACTGCTCTGGACTGAGGGCACAGGGCTGAGGGACTGTGCACTCCGTGCCGGCTGCATACAGTGGAAGTAAACGGGTACAACCAGCAGAGACTTGTGTGCGCCCGGCACTTCCTCCATCTGTAAATTGCACCGGCGCGCTGCCCCTCAGGTGCAGGGAAACTCACTAACTTCCCCACTCCCTTGTCCCTCCTTCATTCCCTCGCACATCCATTCTGGCAAGAAATATTTACCAAGCACTAACCACGCTTGCTTGGTGAATCCAAGATGCCTTGTTTTTTCACCTTCCCGTGTCCCTGAAGTTGGGATGTGTCATAGTCGTCACCTCCAGGCAGTGTGCGTCATTGCCCACACACGAGTATGTCGAAACATACAGGTTAGGCATAAGCAAGCTTAGTGGAAACTTCCAGGAACAACGGAGGAACGGCCTTCTGGAAAATTCTGTGTCACCAGCGCTCTCGGGGTTGCACAGGACCATACTGGCAGAAAGACTCGGACACTGGCAACCCGGAGTGGAAGCGCGATTCAATTCGGAAGAGTTGGATCCATATGTGATGACCTCCTAGGAAATACCTTATTCCATCCATTTCACTTTTATTTCCTTTGTGAGGTATGCGTAAGAATGGTATGTGACGGCTCTGACATTTGCTGGCTGCATGACCCTGCACAGGTCATTCGCTGTGCCTCAGTTTCCCCATCTGTAAAAGGGGGTGAAGTTACCTCTTGATACTGCTAGGAGGGGTAAAAGCGTTAGTACCTACGTGGCTTTCAGCGCCTGGTTCGCAGTACGTATGTGTAGTGCTCCCTGCTATTGTTGTTACTATTATTGCCTCTAAGGAAGATCTGACGGCCCCCGCTTGGGAAGACAGGGCCTCACCTGGGCTTGAGGGGTGGCAGGACCCAGGCATAGAGTCTCCCAGTTCTCTCTGTCTTCTCTGAGCAGAGTGACTGTCTTCCCCATGATGTGAGATGTGGCCCCGGCAGCTCCAGACTCCATCCTGCACACCCTGCCCCCCAGCCCCCAGCCTGCCGCCCCTCTGGCACCCTGGGGAAGGCACCCATTTCTGGGCCCATCAACCGAGGCCAAGGGAAGGCTGAAGAAAGAACTGGCAGCTCTGCCATTAGCAATGGCAATGAGCGGAGCGGTGGGATGGTGCGCCAGGAGGGGGTCCCAGGGAAACGCACACATCAGGGGCGGGCAGACAGTCTCCTAGATGTCCACACCAGAGACCTCAGTTTACAAAGGAGGACAGCAGATCGCAGAATGTCTTGTGACTTGTCCAAGGTCGTACACAGCCAGGCAGTGATAGGTGGGCAATTAATCCTCAGGAGGAACTCCGTCTGCTCCGAGCCCTTGCCCTACGTTATAACATTACTCCTCACGGCAACCTTACCACAGGAGGCAGCTCCTTCTGAGCACTTACTGGTTGCAGGCACCTCTGGGAGCCCTCTACAGACGAAAGCACCTCATCTGAACTCTCCCAAGCCACGAGGAAGACACTATCAACACCCATTTTACACATTAGGAAAACTGAGGCACAGAGCAATAAAGTCACTAGCAAGTGTCACACAGCTTAGTAAATGGCAGGGGAAGGATGCAGACCTAAGTAATCGGATCCTAGTCTTTGGGAGGTAGGGATTTTTTTCTTTTTCCTTATCAAAGAGACTAAGCCTGTAATTCGTGTAGTTATATGAACACATACAGGTACTGAGATTTGAATAAAATATTTGACTTGATTATGACATTCTCCTGCCTACAGTCATTCAGGGCAGAGAGATATTCCATGCTTATTGTTCTCCTAGGAAGTACAAATTACAGGAAGCCTTTCTGGAAAAGATTGTAGAAAGGAAAACACATTTGTTTTTTCTCTCCCCATTAATTGTCAGAGTCAGATTATACCTTATACTAAGGTTGTCTACCTGTTTTTCTTATTTAAAAATCATTTTTAAACACTCTTTATTTGCAATAATGCTGCATTTACCGGACACGTGAAGAGACGAGCAGTCCAGGAAGCCCGCCTCCCCCGCAGTGACAGCTTGTGTAACCAGCCACTGCACCATGAGGAAGATGAGCCCGGAGCCTCTGCCGAGCTCGGGAGGTTTGCTCTCGGTCCATAGGCTGAAGCAATTCGCCCAAGGCCTCACGGTTTGGAATGGGCCTATCAGGAGCCCCACCTCCCATTTTCCTTCTTCCAGAACTAGAGGAGGCCAGCTCCGTTTCTCTGAATCCACAGTCTGGAGTTTTCTCTCTTGCCATATTGAAGAGGCAACAGAGGCTGCGGCCACCTCCGTGGCTGCCTGGGGACCGGTCCACCGCCACGGGGGCAGGGGTGGCCCGGGCTCTGAGAGGGCTAAGCCCCTTCTGACAGCAAACAGGGCCTCGGAGCAGGGCCTCGAGGAGGGGACGGGTTGCTGGGAGACAGCGGGCAAGCCCGGGGGCTGCTCCAGCCCTGCCTGCTGGATACAGAGGCCCTCATGCAAGGACCCTGAAAAGTGGCTGGACCCTAGGGGCACTTGGCTGACGGCAGGGGCTGGCCAGGGGCCTCACCCACTGAGAAGTCTCTTCCAAAAGAGCAAACCCTGTTCCTTGGGTTGACCGACTTAGCTACAGTCTTTCCTGGGGCCATTTCCCATCTGAGCTGCCAGGATGAACGAACTCCCCCACCCCAAGTCTTTTCTAGAACATTCACACAGAGATCAGCAAGGTAGTCTAAAAAGAAGGCAGGTGGGGCCCTTCAGGTGAAGACAGTAGAGGACAAATCCTGTCTTAGAATCCCAGGAAAGGCGTCCTCAGGCCTTCACCTGGGAAGAGGTGAGTAGGCCCCTGGATGAGAAGGTGAGAGGTACCTGGGCCAAAATAGATTTCCTGCAATCAGCTGTGGACTGGGGCCCTAAAATTCCAGCATTACCATATGATCTCTGCTCTGTCTTCACATGGCCTTCCCCTCAGTGTCTTCGTCCCTCTGTGTCAAGGTCCCCGCTCCCTTCTTCTATAAGGACAACTTTCATCGGATTTGGGGCCCGCTCTAAATCCAGGATGACCTCATCTTAACGTCCTCAATTTAAGTATATCTGCCCTATTTCCAAATAAGGCCACATACATACACAGGTTCCAGGGTTCTGGGGGTTAGGAGGTGGATACCTCATTTTGGGGGGGGGAGGGCACAATTTAACCAACTATAGGGAGTGAGTTAGCTAACTTAGATTTAGGAAGTAGAGGAAAGGCATCTCAGGCAAAGGCACAGACCAGAGGAGTTCAAGGTTCGAAAGGGGGGGGGGGGGCAGGTCGTTAAAACAGGTGCCAGCCAGTTCACAGCTAGAGTTTGCACTTGACCATGAAAACAATGGGGAGCCGCAGAAGGGTTTGCCTGGGTTATTATCTATCTCATTTGATTCTCCCCACATCTCTGGGAGGCCAGTATGCTATCTTCATTTACAGCTGGAAACACTGAGGCTCAAAGAGGCGAAGTCATTTGCCCAAGAACAGACCATTAGGAAAATGTCAGAAAGAGGATTTGAAATCGAGCATCATGTAACCCCTTAAGCCGGAAGATGAACGCAGCAGA